GCATTCCATATTAATATTCATTATAGGTGACCAGCTATTGTAATTGTATTTGTGTATATACATATATATATATATACTATGAGAGAGAGTGAGAGGTGAGCATACGAATGATTTGTTTTTGAGAAAAAAAAGTAGACTTGGAATGTGCGGGGGTGGAGAGAGGCATTGAGCAAGTCCATTGTATAGTTTTAACAAAATGGAGGATTTTGGATTTGTAAAAAAATTGGTTCTGGTTTTTTAAGTAAGTGGGGAAAGTTGGCTATTCCAATATTATTTTCCTTGGTTGTTTCGGAGAGAGAATAGGGTCTTAGTTAGAGAATAGAGACACATTTTCGTTGAGAGCTAAATAAGCAGTTAAATTTTTCAGCATCTTAAAATGAAAAGAAACATAAAACACATGAAACCATAAACATTACAATAACAAAGTCCGAAAGAAAAGACAGAGTGACGGGTGCAATAACTCCTCTTCGTGCCCACTCAAGGATTGGTTGCTTTTTCCACATCCTTGATCCCTCTTTTCTCTTCTACTTTCTCATTGTTATCATCTTTGCTCTTTCCCCACATAACGCAGTAAAAGCCCAAAATTATGAGACATCCCCCAATCACACTGCAACTCATCATAAAATAACCAACCATCACAATATATTAGATTAAATTACTTTCAAGTGTTCGTCTGATTTCTAATCAAATTGACCTATTGTGTTTTCTAACTTAAAAATGGAACTATTTCTTATAGGGATTACATATTATGAGACCATTTATTTTTCTTGTATAAAGAGGTCAAAATCATTTTTAGCTATTAGATGGATTGCAGTGTGTCACAACATTTGAAAATTTTTATTTTGGACGTTGTGTTCGGTCAATAATGATTATGACTTCTTTATATAAAAAACAAACGGTCTCATTGTATACATTTCCTTTATATAAAATTCACCAAAATTGAATGGAATTTAGAATAATGGGCGAAATGCAAACCTTCCCAAATGAAGACGTTCCTTGAGAATAAGGGCGCTGAGAATCGCTGCGATGATCAGTTGAAGGGGAAAAAATAGGGCAACAAATACCGGTCCTCTCTTGGAGATGCACCAAGCGTTCAAAGAATATCCAATTGCCGAAACCAAAATCCCCTGCATTGAGTTTTCATAGTTTATTTGATTTTGAAATTCCATTTACTTTTGCTAAGTTTTGACATTGGGATCTGTGTTTTAAATCAGGAACTTAATCAATTCCGTGAAGGTATCGATATTGCCCCTTAAAACTCCCCTTTCACTTTGTTTTTTGTTTATTTTACCTAATGTTGTTTTAGGTCCTTCTAAATCCCTCAATAAATCCATATTTTAATTCTAGTTTTTTCTTTTCAACATTATTTTTCATAACGTCGATTCTAGCTGATCTAGATTGGTGATCCAGATCTGATACGGGTACGTGGGTGGACGATATACCTAACCAATGTGACTTTCCAAACACTGGTTGAGTTCATGGTTGATCATAAAGAGGATCAAAGTATTAAGCCTCACTTTATACTTCAACTAATTTGGTTTTAAAATTCCTTCGACTAATATGGTTTAACATTTCCTTTCACTAAAGAGCTACGTCCATAGAGAAAGAGGATGGGACCTACATAATAAAAATAGGACAAGAGCTTCAAATCCCAGCCAATCTTCCATGGCGAAGCCGTTCTCTCGAAGATCACAGCGACCGCTGCCGATTGCATCATCGCCAGAAAAGAAATCCAGGCATTCATAGAAAGAGGGGCCGGATAAACTTTGTAAAGTGAAGCCTGAAGGATCAAGAACACACTCCAGCATAATGTTGAAACAATTGCAAAGGAGGAACCTTTAACCCAGTCTGGTTTGGCATGCTCTGCACCACCACCAGAATGGTAGCCATGGATGTTAAAGAAGGAGATTTTTAGGGGTGGAAAGAGGTGACCCTTGTAAAAAGTGAATAGCATAGCCCCTCCTATGCAAATCGAGGTACCCAAGAGCTTTCCTTGCCCTCTGCGACTTCTAATATTTACACTTTCCAACCTGTATTTTGAGCCAAGATATTGAGTCAATTGAAGAGCAACTGAGATTATTTGAGAAATAATCATATGCTATGTCATGGTTTCTAGGAGTATTCTTGATAATTTAGAACATTTTAAGGCAATTCTAACTTAATTGCTTTAAGGGGAAATATATTAACCAATATTCTAAGCAAAGTTCAAAACATCGACTTGGCCAAGGTACTCGAGCCCTGGCTGAGGCGATGTACTCGGCCAAGGCAAGCTTTTTTTTTTTTAACAAAAAGTCACATAAAGTAAGTGTATATATAAAATGAGCAGCAAATATTACTCATTAATCATACATTGGCTTTATGTAGGCCCTTGTTTTATAACCTTCTTTGGAAGTCTTGGGATCTAATCTTTTCAAACCATTTTTTTAATCCCAAACAATTTTTTTGTCTTTATACTAGCTCTACATCGATCTTAGCTCTATGATGCCCAAAATCAGTCAATATTGTAGCAAAAAAACTATGAATCTGTATAAGGCTTTTGAAAATGATTTCAAAAGCTTCAAAATAAACTAAAAAACATAAAAAAAACTATGGAGTAATTAGAGAGAAATAATAAAATTAGTGATTTTTTGACTGATTAACGATATTAGCTATTTCATGCACAAAATCAGTCGAAAATGGTGAAAGAAAACCACTGATTTATATAGAGTTCTTGAAGTTGATTTCAAAATCTTCAAAACAAGCAAACAATATTCGGATTTGGTGTAGAAATCAGCAAGGATTTGGTGTAGAAATCAGTAAGAACAATAAGGATTGGCGGAGAAAAGAAAAATCGCGTATAGAACCCTAAAACCATAAATTTAATGTGATTAAACTTGATAAACACGAGAATTAGGATAGGGCTTTTGTAGATAACTTCAATATATTGATAAATAACCCATAATAAATGAATTTACTGGATAAATAAGAGAGAAAGGAAGAGATTGATGGATTTTTTTTTTATGCACGAAGAACCCTGAAAATCCGATAATTTCGTAACAAATTGTTGTTCGATTTGGGTTTTGATGAACCAAAATTTTATCATAAAGATAATATTGTTGTTAAAAACACAGCAAGGTTCCAAAAATCGATCAATATCACATCCAAATTTCGGATTTTTAGTTTACTAAAGTTTCCATATTAAAAAAAACGAGTTTTATCTGCCGATGGGGTAAAATCGGGCGAGTTTCATGTTTTTAATCGAGTCTCCTGTTTTTTCAGTGATTCTTGTCGACTCAATCACCCATAAGGTACTGTACGATGGAATTGGCCCCCCTCGGCCTTAGCAGTGGAGCGAGGCTGAGGAACTCGGCCGAGGCAGAGTCAACTAGCCCTAGTTCAAAACTATGATTCCAAGATTCACCGTAGGCCTTGGAGTTGGCAACGATCCGAGGCAAGTGACTTGGCCGAGTCCAAGTGGACTCTCGAGTAGTGCACATTTAAAGAAAGAAAGGGGAAAAAAAAAAAAAAAAGACTCCCCTCCCGCACAGGCATCTTCCATCTCCTTTCTCTGTGTGCCAGGCGGTGCACTCTGTAGGTACACTATTTTGTATTTTATGGTAATTCTGGTATAGTATAAGTGTTTATGTTTTATTCCGTCATATGCTTTTCTCTATTGAAGATAAACTTGTATATGATGAATGGATAACCAGTCTCCAGAGACTCTTCACACACACGAGCCAAGAGCCAAGATGCACAAGCAGCAGCATGAGTTGCAGGGGGCGGAAATTGAAAGAAAAATGAAGGAAAGAGAGAAGAAATCAACCCGCCTTGCCTTTGAGAGAGAGTATACACAGCTGGGAATGAGAGGTAGAGAGCGAGTGTACCTGGCTGCGAGAGAGAGAGTGAGCGATACAAAGGGGGACTGGCTTAGAGAGAGAGGTAGAGATCGAGTAGTACACCTCCTGTTTTCTACAGAGTTGTACATGGTACTCGGGGACTACTCGACTCAGCCATACGCTGAGGCCAAGTGGACTCGGTCGAGTCTTAAGTCACTGATGTTAACAAATACATTTCCACTTTACAAGCTTGAAAAAATGATTTCCCCAAATCCAGAGGCTATGTTTTTTTGTCACTCCCAAAAAACAGAGAAAGAAATGGAAACAGGAAAAGCTACTACAATAAGCTCATCTATGCCAATAAAAGAGAAGGAGATATGTCTTTTTAGGTCGTATTTAAGAGAATGTGTTGTTACCTGAAAATTGCTGCGAGGATGAAGGTGATGGCCGGGCAAAGGTTATTCATGGCACCAACTACAGTTGGAGAAGAGTGCATGAGCCCTACAAAGTAAGTATTCTGTGTCCCTGTTATCCCACATAAAGCCAACAAGAACAGTTTGAAAAACACTGGCCTTGTGAGAGATGGGCGCGTCTTCCTGTAACATATATAGTTCTCAAAAGGTTAAGTCTCTTATCTCGAACTTAAATTGTATTCCCATGGTTGATATTTTTCTCATCTCTTGTAAAGATGTGAGCCATAAATGCCTTCGGTAGTGTTTCATAAGATAAGAGGAAAATATATACCTTATTTTGGTGTAATATATTTAAGGTTTTAAAAACTTTCTCCACATAGGTTTTTTAAAAATATATCTTCTAACCCCGTCCACCCAATTGTCAGTGTTTTTTTTCTTTTCCTAAACAAAATTTTAAAAGACACCTCTGTGTACTAAACCTCTCTATACAATGTCTTTATTTCTCTCTATATAACGTCTCTAAGGAAAAAAGCTTTTAGAAAACCTATGCTACCATAAAGTTTTTAAAACCTGAGCCTATAAGGAAATGGCACACCAAAACAAGATGTATGGAGATATTGCTCCTAAGATCATTCCTCTTTTTTGGATCTTCTTTTGATAAATTCTTTTTTTTTAGATTCTCTTCATTTCTTATTTAATCACTGATGAGTTGTATTGATTATAGCCCATTCATTTCCAGGAGTAGATATTGAGATTAAAAAAATGGGGAAAAAAAGGAAGAAAGAAAAGAAGATTAACAAAGAAGAAGAGGAAGAAAACTAGTTGAAATTTTTTCTTCTAGAAGTTTACGTTAGGTCTAAATTAAATTAAATTAAATTGTTTCATGCAAATATTCGGAAAATTGTTTCATGCGGGCTGGACATCATTTCTACAATATGCGGTCCAAAGGTATAAAGCATCCATTTTAAAAATGGATGCAAATAGGTGGTCTATCTAAAAGCAAGTGTAACTAACGGTCTAACATTTTTTTTTAATATAATTTTTATTTTTAGTTATTAAATTATTTTTATTTTTCATATTCATGATCTCCATATTAAAGATTATATATTCTCTAAAAATTAGGATCAAATTATATTTAAAAAATACATTTATTACCAAGCCCATTTCTACAATATGCGGGCTGGCCGCATAAAAACCGTGTCTTATTCAAAATCAATTCAATTTACAAGTGTTCTGCAATTTTTTAAAAATATAAAAAGTGAACATGGTTGCAAGGAATTTTACGAATTCGGTCAGGATAAGAGGGTTTGCATGAGGGACGACTTCGAGACTGAAAAACTTGACCTCTCTACACAAATTAGGTATCTACCTATAAGATAGATGAGATTTCTATGAGTCAGCTGATTCATATGTGCACATGCGGCTCCCTACTAAAATCCATTTTAGATGATTTTTTTTTTCTAATTTTCTATTTTGAATATTCAGGGCCAAGATGATCATAAATGTGAAAAGAATAAAAACTTTTTAAATTTAAAATATAATTTTTTAATATTTTTTATGTACCACCATCTCTTATTTATTAATATGTCAGCGGGCCCTTTTGCCTGCTAGCTCATGAAACAATTTTCCATAAGATAATGATATTAAAAAGAAAGACATGGAAATGGAAGCCTTTCCATTGCGTGATACATTTCAAAGAGCACTCTCTACATTCTAGAGCAATACTTTTTCATGTCTCTATCATTACTTAGGGGTGGCAATCAGGTCAGGTTCACAAGCCGGGTCTGGATCCATGTTTTGGTGTTGGTTTTGGGTCCCAATGATTTGGACCAGACCTGGATGGATCTGGCTTGGACCCTTTCGGCTATAAAATATATTATACAATATAAATTGTTTTTCTTTAAATTTTTTAGACCATGGTCTGGGTCCAAAGAAGATCCTGGAGAAGCTACAGTAGAAGCAGTCAATCTTTCTCTGAGCTCTATCGAGCTAAGATACTTCTACACCTTTCTTGTCTTTGCCTCGGTTCCTACTTTGATCCATACCCGTTGGGGAGTCTGCATCCATGTAGAACCTAGTCGGGTAGGGTTGAGAACTCCGTCTCTGCAATATCCATTCAAAAAAGAAAAAGGAAGAAACTTCCACACTACTAAAACAAAGTAGGCCATGAATTTGAAGGATAAATAAATGTGATTTTTGTATGTGACGTAAGAAAGCATCAATGTATTAATATTGAAAGTGCCTGCATGGTGATGTGTTCCCATGTGAAGGAGGGTTCACCTTTCCAGAAAGTAAGCAAAAGGAGAGAGAACGAGGGTGGCCACAATGTGTCTGTACACAATAAAGACATGGTAGCTCATGCCTCTCTCCATAGCTCGCTTGCTCACAATATCAGCTGAGGCAACAAGCAGTTGCAGGCTGATCATCACAACATAAGGACTCCACCCTGCCATCTCTCGCTCTCTAAAATCTAAGCGCTCTTCCTCTCTCTATTGATCTCTCTCTTGAATGATAAGCTCTCTCTCTTGAATGATAATCTCTCTCTCTCTCTCGTGCTAACAACTGAATTGGAGTTCTCCTGGGACTCCCTCACCTTGTACTAGCAAATTTATAGCATGTAAACAATAAAAAAAACCTGCTCTCTCTCTTCTCTCTTTCTTCTCTCTCTCTCTCTCTCTCTCTCTCTCTAAATGTTAAGGACTCATAGGAGGTCTCTTCTAGCACTCCAGCTACATGCACTCGCAATTTATAGCATGAAAAGAGTGATAAGAAGGCTGTTGGAGGGTGTGGGTACAGTGGAGCATGGGGAAATAGTTGGTGCTTCCTTTTTCGAGCATAAGTGGGGTGACGAGGTTTCCAACTGATAAGCCAGTGTTGCTTTTGAATACTTCTCACAACAAGGGTTGCAGTCAATTTTTTTTAGATTATCTTGAGAAACTTATCAAAATCTACATGGAACAAATTAGCATTTATTCTTTGCAAATTTTTAAAAGGGATTGTATACTACGAGACTATATAGTTTGTTCTAGGGAGGTCACAATTGTTAGATGTCAAATTGGATGACTTGGGTTGTAATATAAAGTTGGAAAATTTTTTAGATCCTTGAATTTAGTTAATAATATATTCATAGCGACCCCATTTGAAGTGATTGTGATCTCTTTGTATTAATTTTTCCGTATATTTTGATGCGTCAAGTATTTTTAAATTTGTTCGAAAAAATGATTGCTGCTTGAGATGAGATAAAAAACGTATGCATAGAATGTAAAACACATCAAATAGTCTAAAACTGAGGTGTAATTTAATAGATTAGCGTTGAATCTTTGAGCCAGTGAGAGGCGATTTCAAGCAGAGAGGCACCTTCTGAAATATAAAATCTGGCACAAAGTAACATAAAGGACAAGAATCTCTCCTTAGTCTATTGCTTATTTCAGGTGGTTTTTACAAAAGATATAAATTTTAAAAGTTTACCAGTGGCATTGTCTCCAACAAAATTAGACACTTGAAGTTTCCCAGCACGTTTCTGTCTCTCTCTCTCTCTCCAATACGAACACTTTTGACATTGAAAGTTTGAAACCCTTCCAAAATATTTATTAAGTCGTTGTTCGCCGGCTACGTTAGCTCCCTTAATCGATTAATAACAACCCAGATAGGCCAGGTGAACCGACTTTTCAGAAATCTGGTTTGGATTTGTCATCAATCCATATCACCAAGTTGGACAAATTCTTCAGTGGGAGAATTGATCAAAAAAATAAAAAATAAAAAAAGAAAAAAGGAAAAAAAAAAGAAAGAAACGTGATGTATGCGAACTAGACGACCCATCCAGTTTTGATTGCCAAGTTCCCTGACAAACTTAGCCAGCTCCCTAATGAAACTGGGCAATTCCAAAAGAACTGGACTGATTCTTGATTTTAGCATGGAACTAGGTCGGTCTAGACCAATTCCCAATCTAGATCGGCCATTCTCGATCGACATCATTGGTTTTTTGAACATTGGGCAGTGTTTCAAAACCCGGCTTGTACACTTATGAAATCCATGAACACATCACGAGTCACCCACATGTTCTACGATGTTATACAGCATGTTATGCTAACCCAAAAGAAAAAAAAAAAACTAAAAAACTAAAAAATTGAAAAAGAAAGAGCCATGCTTGTACTACACCTTGTGAAGACTATCTAGGGCTTCTTAAAAAATTGGGGACATAAATGAGAGTGAGAAAAAAAAAAACCATTTTTTATATTTAATAAGAATTGTCTAATTTTTAGCTCTCCCATCTAATATTTAGATGCTCACTCAGAGCTAAAAAAATTGGTTTTAGCGATATTCACCTCGTAATTCTAAAGCGGCCAAATTTTTTCACTAACTCTTCCGCCCAAAGAAACAACAACGTAAACTATGCTCCCACAGCAGTTAATAAAATTTAGGATGCCCCTCTCTCTCTCTCTCTTCTCTCTCTCTA